AACAAAAATTTTAATAGTTCTAATGATGTGATTTGTTTTTAATGTAGGAAGCCAGGACATGTTAATGTTGATTGCCCTACACTCAAGTCTCACCCAAGAAAGGAAAAGGGAGAGGAAAAACTCAAGTCCAAGAAGGACAAGAAGTGATTCCAAAAGGCATTCTGGGCAAATTCTTCATCAGACTCCTCTGAGACTGAACCTAAAGAGGAGACAACAAACTTGTGCTTAATGGCAGACAATAATCTTGGGCATGGTGGCCAAGAAGAGGTATGTGAACTAACTTATGAGCAGCTACTTAAAGTTTCATAAAAAATTCAAGCATTATATAGGAAACTTAAGAAAACTCATGCCAACTTGAAATTGGAATTTTTAAATTTATAAAAAGAGCATAAAATTCTTCTTAAAGATCATTCTATAATTGATAGTAACTATATATCTTTACTTGATAAATTTGATGCATTAAATAAAAAGCATGCTGAATTATCTGATGCACATGATTCATTAAAATCATCTCATGCTGAGTTAGAAAGGAGTTTAAAAAGTTAGAAAATATAAAAGCTTTTGAAAATAAAAAACCATCATTGCATGCATCACATAAAAAGAAGCATCACCACATGGGTAGATTAGTGCATCCTTTTTCATGAGTTAGATGTTTTTCATATGGCATGCTAGGACACTTAGCACACACTTGCACCATTCACCATAGTTCACATTGGGTTTGGAGACCCAAGTTATAAGATTCATAGTATGCATTGCATTCTACTTTCTATAAGAAGAAACCCAAACATGTTTTTTTTTTTTTTGGGAAAATTATGGCCGTAGCCTTTTCATTAATATAAACTAGTTACATGTAGTAAAGAAGAAAAAACCAACATGAAAGTAAAGAAGTGGACATGCCAAAGCGTACAAGATAAAAAAAATGGGGCAGAAAACAAAAACCCCAAAGCAAGGAAAACAGTAAGTAAAGAAAAAGAGTCAGGAACAAGTCTGATCAAAGGAATGAGAGGATAGCAAAAAAAGCATTGGGCTCAGAGATTGCCGCCCTCTCAACCTGGTTGCAAAAATGAATCCCAAAATTCCTGCCGTCCAAAGGAGAAAATGGCAATCCTTACATCATTGCCCATTTTCACCAAAAAAATTGCACCAGCCACTGCAATAGCAAGACAGCATAGCAAAACCTCACAGAACATTTCAAAAACTGCATCCTGCACCGCAATAAAAATAAGTTCCAGCAAGACAAAGTGCAGCAGCCATAAACCATACAGCATATCTGATAACATGCCACCCTTTTTCCACTTCCTGATTTTAGATAATACAGAAGTTTTGATTTTAATGGCTAAAGAGGTCGAAGATACAGCATTCCCCCCAAATTTTCTCTCATTTCTTTCACGCCATATGTGATAAACCGCAGAGCAAACCAGAAGGAAATACACATGCTTATCTTTAGAATGAGATTCATCAATGTATTCAAAGAGCTGCAGTATATTTGGTCTAAGCAAAAGAAATCCCAGGTTTCTCATCAGGGAGGTAACAATAGCAAATGAATAATCACATTCAAAAAAAATATGGCTGACGTTTTCCTCATAAAGATGGCAGAGGGCACAAGTTTTGCTAACAATAATGCCCCTAGATGTAAGACAGTCCGCAGTTTTTAGGCCTCCCCTTATAGCCATCCAACAAAATGAAGAGTATCTAATCACATACCTCTGGTGCAACACAAATTTCCACCAGCTTACTATGGAACAATCTCTAAAATAAAATTCTCTATAGTGCTTGTGTTTACAGTTCTTACCCTATCCCCAATATAAATTATCAGAGGCCCCATCCCCTATCTGAATTTGGGTGAAGGCAGAGAGAACAGCAGCAGGTAATGCATCATGCAAAGCCCACTGCACACCATCAATAATAGCCTCGATATTATCATTTACAGGAAAAGAACCAAGCAGGGGAAGCATCACAGCAATTTCATTTAATCTCTTTCCTTTAAACCAGTGATCCCAATAAAGAGAGTAACGAGAGGAAGAGTTAACTCTAAAATGAAACATGTGTTTTGCAATGAGAGCATCTTTACATACATTTTTCCATAATTTAGAGGCTTTAGTAACAGGTTCTTTCCACGGGGAAATATAGACTTTAAAGAGCCAAGCACTTAAAGGGCTATGAATGTTATAAATTTTAGTTATGAGAGAACAGCTAAAACAAAACTGGATGGACTGAATAGAGGGGAGACCGATCCCACCCATTTGAATGGGCATAAAAGTATTCCTCCAAGCAATAAGATGCAACTTATTGGCTTTAGCATCACCAAAATATAAGAATTTAGCACATAATTTGTCAATTTGCTTAGTAATAGTTTTAGGTATAATAGCACCTCGAATCCAGTATGCTATAGTGTTCCATATAGTGTACCTTAAAAACTGCAGCCTACCCTCAAATGACAGGGCTTTGGCTTTCCAGCCAGACACCTTCGCAATGATAGTTTCCAAAAGCCCAGAAAAATTGGCAATTTTCGGGTTGTATGGAGATAGAGGCACACCAAGGTAAGACATGGTAGATGTGGGATTGGCTATATTGAGACCAGTACAAATACTGGCAGCATTGTTACAATTTGGAGGTAGAATGACAGAGCTTTTCTCATAATTTACAAAAAGCCCAGAAGCCTCAGAAAATACCTTCAGAATTTGAGTAAGTTTTTCACAATTGTTAATATCAGCATTGCCAAATATGATTAGATCATCAGCATATAAAAGATGAGAGAGCCTGTACTCCCCAATAGTGAATGCCTCAAAACTGCTATCATTTAAATTGTGATCAAGCATACAGGAAAGGGCATCCATAACAATGCTGAAAAGATATGGACTAAGGGGACATCCCTGCCGTAATCCATTTTTGGACGGAAAGAAGCCTTCTAAAGCACCATCAATACATAACGAGTACCAAACATCTTTGATACAAGCATCAATCCAACCCAGAAAAATGTCAGGAAATCCCTTTTGTTTCATTCTACCCAAAAGAAATTCCCGAGAGACACAATCAAAAGCTTTTTTAATGTCTATCTTAACACACATAAGCTTGAACTTTGAGTATTTCCTAGAGAACTGAAGAATTTCATTAGCTAGGATAATGTTGTCAGAGAAAATTCTTTTATGGATAAACTCAGCTTGGTTATCTTTTATGATATGAGACATAAGAGGTTTCATTCGATCAGCCAATACCTTAGCAATTATTTTATAAGAGGTATTGCATAAAGCATTAGGTCTAAAGTCATTCAGTGCTTCAGCATTTTTAGATTTCAGAATAAGAGTTAAAGCAGTGGCTTTAGTAGCACGAGGGATGTAAGCATTGCTATGGAATCCCTTTATGGCTTTGCAAATCGTATTGCCAGTTAATAGCCAAGTTGCTTTGAAAAACTCAAAGTTAAAACCATTCGGCCCAGGTGAAGAGTTGGAAGATCCAGAGAATACTGCATTCTTAATATCCTAATCCGTGAAAGGCATAACAAGCAATTGAGCCATAGCATCCGAAATAACCTCACCAGAAGGAAATCGCTTAGGGAGAAAATCAGAATGACTGGAAGCATTGAATAGATTGTAGAAATAAGATATAGACTCCTGAATAGCATCAGACACAGAATTTCTAGAATCATTCATAGCTAACGTGATGGCAGTATTTCTAAAACTTCTCCTTAACCGGATTTTAGAATATAGAAATTTCAGATCCTCTTCACCCTGCGTTAGCCATTTAGATTTGGCTCTTTGTTTAATCCAGGAATACTACATAGATGTATCCTCTAGCTGATTACTAATACTTTTTAGTTCCAAGGAAGCTTGATGTAAATTAACATCAGAATTCAACTTGTTAAGGCAAACAAGTTGCTTTTCTTGAAGCATTTTAAGGTGGTCAGCCATCATATTAGAGTTAGCCCAAGGTTTACCTCTAATAGCCAATTTCAGTTGCTTGAGTTTGGTGGCAAGATCCACTAAGAGATTACCAGCGGCTTTGTAACCAAAGATACCCATCAAAAGATACCAGAAGTGATAATTCTTTACCCAGTAGTTTTTGAATAAAAACCTATGCTTAGAAACGGCAGCCTCTCTAGATTTGAGTATGATAGCATAATGATCAGATCCAACAGTATTTCTTACCAAATAATATGAATCAGGAAAAGAAGACAGCCAATATTCATTTACCATCATACGATCTAGTCGAATATGAATAGGGTTGTCAGTCCTCTGATTATACCAAGTAAATGAAGGCCCAATGGAAGACAAATCACAAAGTTTAGTGTCAAAAATGACACTGTTGAAGTCATAAAGCTGATTTTGATGAAGACAATTTCCTCGTAGCTTTTCCGAGGCAAACCTACTGCAATTGAAATCACCCATGACAATCCAAGGAATTCCCCCGGCAGGGGATACACTCCTTAGATCATCCCAAAGAGCTTTTCTACCACTCAGATGATTAGAAGCATAAATCACAGAAAGAAAAAAAGGAGTGCTAGAACCAAAGGAGACCATACCAGCAATCATTTGTGAAGAGAAGAAGATAGGGTGAAAATCCAGCCTATCGGAATTCCATTTAATCCAGATCCTTCCAGGATTGTCATAGTCGAAATTGTTACAACAAGATTCAAGGTCAAAAACCTTATGGCTGTTGAGGAAGCTCAGATCAGAAAGGTTAGAGAAATGGATTCTATTTTCTAGAATACAAATCATATCCAAGCGATGCGATTGAATTAGAAGTTTACATTGAGACACCTTATTAGAGGAAGAAAATCCTCTAATATTCCAAGCTGTGATATTTGGACAGATCATTTACGCTTAGAAGAGGTGGATGGAGGCTTTTTGGTGCTCTTTCCTTTAACATTTTTCCCCTGTGTTTTTTTGGCTTTATTTTTACTACCCCCAAAATTAGAAACCTGCTCCGAGAAGGAGGAACTATCAGTTTCAGAAGTATTAGGGATAAGAACATCATCAGATTGTTTTGCAATAGGAATATCATCAGATTCCTGGAGAGATGAGAACTTGTTGCACACCTGCAACGGGGGGGGTGGGAATAGGAGCACTGGAATGTAGTATTTCGGTTTCTCCAATATCATCTATATTGGGAGAGTTGAGATTTGGTATGGAGATGTTGTCAAATCTGATAGGTTCATCGGTAGATTCTTTCATCTCTTCAGTGTTGTGATTCTCCTGAATATCAGAGTATTTTTCAGTAATTTGTACAACATGATCAACCACCTCAACATTTTTGCCACTATCTTTAGGAACCCAAATTACTTGAGACGGAACTAATGCCAGAGTGGGAGCAGAGGGAGTAACAACATTGGGAATTATATTGCGTGTAACAGAAGAAGACCCTGCTAGGATCTCCCTATTATTTCTTGCCGAGACTTTCCTGTGTTGATTATGGTTCCTAGGATTCCTTGAGGAGCTACGACCCCTGTTTTGAATTGGAGGATCCTGCTTGGGAGGCTGAGAGGATGGGCAATTCACGGTTTGATGAGCTAAAGAAGCGCAAGATGCACAGGGATTTGCCTTCCACTCATACTGAATTTGCATTCTGATAACATCCCCTTCAATCGCAACAGCTACACTCTCAGGAAAAGAAGAGGTAGTGGAAACTTGTATACATACTCTAGCATAGGTTAGTCTAGTTTTTGCAGCAGTTAAGGTATCTACCGCTATAGGAATTTCGATTTTGGAAGCAATTTTTGATATTCCCTCAGAGTTCCAACAGATTAGAGGGAGATTGTGAAACCTAACCCAAATGGGTACAGATGTAAAATTTTCTCTGGTTGGGCTGAAATTTTTTGTCCATTTTTTAAAAATAAATGGTTTTCCATGAAAGAACCAAGCCCCCTTTGACCACACCATGTCATAATCTTCCGATAAAGAGAATTTGAACAGAAAAAACCCATCCGTAAGAGCTATAAGTTAAAAAGTACCTTTGAGCTTCCATATGCGCAAGGCTGTTTCTTTTAAAGCTTCATAGTAAGGACGCTTACCCACCTAATAGCCAACAAGACAGAGGTTCCATTCCACCGCAGCTGGCTCAGTGAATTCTTTGTCGAAAGGGATGATCTCCTCCGGAGTTTCCATAAGGGAAACTGGTATATGTGGAGCAGACGGGCCAGGCTCAGAAATAATATTCGACCTAAGGCGGTCGAGAGAACGAGAAACAGGAGCCGGATCACATGCAGGAGTATGAGCCATGGAAGGAAAGTGATGAGAATCAAGCAAATCCATGAGAACAACCGGCCTTGGCCGGTGGCAGCCGAAGGGAAGAAGGCGGAAAAGCAGTCGCAAGGGAGAAGTCGGCTAGGGCATCCTCTCACCAGCTCTGTCTTGTTTGCCTCTATGAAGAACCCAAACATGTTTGGGTTCCTAAATCTGACATTTAATAATTTTGTAGGCAAGTTCTCACAAAAGGCCTCGTGAGAGAATGTGGTACTTGGACAACGGATGCTCTCGACATATGACTGGTGATGCCAATCAATTCATTTTATTGAAAGCAAGGACAGGAGGCAATGTTACTCTTGGAGACAACACCACCAGAAAGGTGGTAGGCTCAGGTATAATTAGAAATTCCAAGAACCTTTTGATTGAAAATGTTTTGCTTATAGATGGACTGAAACACAACTTGTTCAGCATTAGTCAGCTTTACAATAAGGGCTTCATCTTAAATTTTTTGGCAAATTCATGCATTATCAACTTAAATAATTACATTGTTTTGTAGGGAAAATGGATCAATAACATTTACATGCTTGATTTAAATAATATTGAATATGTTTCTTCATTTTACTTAAAAATTGTTGTTGATGATTCATGGTTGTGGCATAGGAGATTATGTCATGCCAGTATGAAAACCCTTAGGAAAGTGACCCAGAAAGACCTAGTTAGAGGTATCCCCAAACTTAGGTTTTCAAAAGATCATCCTTGAGATGCCTGTATATTAGGAAAGCAAGTCCACACCACCTTTCACTCCATTAAGGACATTAGTACCTGTAAACCTTTAGAAGTCATTCACATGGATTTGTTTTGACCCATTAGCACTGCCAGCTTAAGAGAGAAAGTCTATGGTTTTGTGAATGTCGAATACTACTCGAGGTTTACTTGGACTAGATTTTTTTCACACAAGAATGAGTCTTTTGATGAGTTTAGAACCATCTTCACTTGGATCCAGAAAAAGCTAGGTTGTGATATTTTGACCATCCATAGTGACCATAGGGGAGAGTTTGAAAATGAGAGACTTGAAGACTTTTGTGAGGATAAGGGGATTAGCCACAACTTCTCAGCTCCTAGGACCCCTCAGCATAAGGGTTAGCTGAAAGGAAGAACCGAACCTTAGTGGAAGCTTCTAGAGCAATGCTTGTTAAATATTCACTTCCAAAATACTTTTGGGCTGAAGCGGTTAACACAGCTTGTTATGTGTTGAATAGGGTGAATGTTAGAGCCAAATAAGATAAGACACCATATGAGATCCTTAAGGGTAGAACACCAAATCTTTCCCACCTTCATGTCTTTGGTTGTAAGGTTTTTATTCACAATAATGGGAAGTCTCACTTAGTAAAATTTGACCCAAAATCTGCTGGAGTGTTCTTAGGATATTTTAGTGTTGGGAAGTTTTTTAGGGTGTTTAATAAGAGGACTTTAGTGGTGGAGGAGACTACTCATGTAGTGTTTGATGAATTTGATCCTAAGAAGCCTAGAGTTGAGGATGATGATGTTGGAGAGATTACCACTAGAGTAGAAAATTTGGAGAAGAGGGTAGACCCCCAAAATATTGAAGGAGTAGGAGAGATTACCCAAGAAGCTGAAAATGAAGATCTAGAGGAAAGGGTTGAACCTACACACACTTTGCCTAGAAATTGGAGATACCCTTCAAGTCACCCCAAAGAATTGATCTTAGGAGACCCTTCTGAAGGAGTTAGGACTAAGCATGGATCTAGGAAGGAAGTGAGCCACTCTACCTTTATCTCAATGACTGAACCCAACAATATCAATCAAGCCCTTTCTGATGAGTTTTGGATCTTAGCCATGCAAGAGGAGTTCAACCAATTTATTAGGAATGATATTTGGGAGCTTGAAGAAAGACCAAAGGGACAAAGTGAAGTTGGAACCAAATGGGTCTTCAAGAATAAGATGAATGATTCTGGTGTGGTGGTCAGGAATAAGGCAAGATTAGTGGCTAAGGGATACAAACAAATAGAAGGGATAGACTTTTAGAAGACCTTTGCCCCTGTAGCTAGATTAGAAGTCATTAGAATGCTATTAGCCTTTGCATGTTAAAAGGGATTTAAGTTTTTTCAAATGGATGTTAAAAGTGTCTTTTTAAATGGGGTAATAAAAGAGGATGTGTTTGTAGAATAACCCCCAGGTTTTAAGAGTTCCCAATTTCCAAATCATATTTTTAAATTAAAAAAGGCCTTATATGGATTTAAGCAGGTACTCGGAGCTTGGTTTGAGAGGCTTAGCACATTTTTACTAGAGAGAGAGTTTGTTAAGGGGAGCATAAACACCACCCTTTTCCTGAGGAAAGTAGGAGATGATTTACTCATAATTCAGATCTACGTTGATGATATACTTTTTGGATCTTCTGATAAAAGGCTATGTGATGATTTTTTAAAAATAATGAGTAAGGAGTTTGAGATGAGTATGATGGGAGAGTTGTCCTACTTTTTGTGATTTAGCATAAGATAATTGGATGATGGAACCTTTTTGAATCAATCAAAATACATAAAGGACATCTTGTAGAAATATGAAATGAACAAAGCCAAGCTAATTAATACTTCTATGACCTCAGGAATTCAATTGGACAAGGACCCAAATGGAAAAGCAGTTGATTAGAAGAAGTACAAAGGGATGATTAGATCTTTACTTTACCTGATTGCTAGCCGAACTAATATAATGTTTAGTGTTTGTCTCTGTACTAGATTTCAATCTGATCCCAAAGAATCCCACCTTACTACTGTTAAGAGATATCTTAAATACATTTTAGGAAACCAAAACCTAGGAATCTGGTACCCTAGGCATAACACTTCCTTTTAGATTATTAGTTTTTCTAACTCTGACTTTGCTGGATGTAAGGTAGATAGAAAAAGTACTTCAGGGACCTGTCAATTCATAGGATAATCTTTAGTCTCATGGTCTAGTAGAAAGCAAACTCAGTTGCACTTTCCACTGTTGAAGCTGAGTACTTTGCTTTATGAAGTTGTGTGGCCCAAGTCCTTTAGTTGAAGCAACAAGTTCTAGATTTAGGATTACATGTAGGCACAATTCCAATCCTTTATGACAATACTAGTGCCATCTGTATTTCTAGGAATCCTATCCAACATTTAAGGATAAAGCACATAGATATAAGACATCACTTCATTATAGACCATGTGACCAAGGGAGACATTGAGTTACACTATGTGGCAACTGAGAATCAAGTGGCTGACATCTTTACTAAACCACTAGCCTTCGACACTTTTAGTACTTTAAGGACCAGATTGAGTGTGATTGATATAAATGCTTGAACTTGATTTCTACTGACTTCCGATCTCTATTTTTATTTTCTATTTTCTTTTTATTTTTCTTGTGCATGTTTTTTATTTGTTTCTCTTGCTTTTAGACTCTGCTGAATCGATATCTTATGCCTTGATTTTGATTTTGAAAATTTGTTATCAATAATTAACAACTATAAATTAGTTAATGGGAAGAACATGTTAATTTTTACCTTCTATCTAACTTTTTTTAGTGATGTAATTTTTTTTTATAAATAAAAATCTATCTCAAATTAACAAATGGATTTTGAAATTGAGAACTTTTCAATCTTGCTACAGTAAACTATTTTATGTTTAATGTTCAAAGTCTTTACTTTACTTTCATATTTTTGTAATCCTGTCATTGAAATTATCATACGGTTTCTGATTCTATTTTTCTATTCATTCTTCCTTATATTAGAGAGTGAGTTTTTCTCCTCTAATATCTAGAAGATAAAATCACAACTAAGAATATTTAAGGATTTTGAAAAAGGGAGCTCGCTTGCATCAAAATAAATGAAAAAAAAGTGGCCAATGATGCTAAAAATAAAAGATGCGTAAAGTCACCAAAATGATAAAAAAAAATTATACACAAAGTGTATCAAAAATAAAAAGATGTGCAAGCAAGCTCTTCTTAGAAGACTTCATGTGTCACTTGATATTTTTCAAAGGCTTGATTTCAAACTTCTGATTGTAACTAATTACTTTGATATATTATTCCATAAAATATTTTTTTGGAAACAAGTTTTTTAACGGATCTCTTCTTTTAAACCAATTGGCTTTTCTGATATAGATTCTTGTTTTTAAAAGTTAATTTATCCTAAAAAAGACTGAGTTAGGTATAACAGAATCAGTTGTTCTACTGCTTATTCAGATTTGGATGATGTTAACTAATTGATTTTGCAAATTTTTTAATTCAATCATATGGAAAAATTATCGTATTCGGTATAAAAAAAACTATGTTTTTGTGTTTTTTATTCGTTTTTATCTTTTTTCGTATCGTATCTGATTTTCTATTTATTTTTATTATTTTTACTATTTTTGGTCCTGATCTAATCATCTTCATCCACCCTCAATTTTCATATTTTCACATCATCCTGGACGATTCTCATATCATCCTAAACGATCGATTCCCTTCACTTCTCGAATCCATGTGCTGACTATTCTGATTTTTCTAGTGTTTATCATCCTAGACGATGTATTATCTTGGACGATATGATCGTCCTCTAGTTCAATTAATTTTGATCATCCTGAATGATTCTCTTTCATCCTGGAAGATGCCTTTGCTTCTGCACAATTATTGGTCATCATCCCGTATGATCCACCTGTTCGTCCTAGATGATACAAGTGGACATACATTTAATAAGTCTTAAATTCAACCGGTATGATCCGTTAATGGAGCATCGTCCCGGATGATCAAGCTGTTCATCCTAGACAATACATGTGGCAGTGCCTTTAAACATTTTAAATTTGGCCGATATGATCAATAATTGATCATCGTCTTGGATGATCTATATATCATCTAAGATGATCTACTTTTTTATTGTTCGTCCGGATTATCACCTCCGGATGATCGCCTGTGTCTTATCATCCTGGATGATATCTGATCGGCCTGGTCCATACGACTGCCTTTTTGACCAATCGTCCAGCCTCAATTATTACACCAGATCATCCTAGACGATCCTGCGATCATCCTGGATGATCTGGCCAAGTTTTTAAATA